GGGGTCGGTACGAACGTGCGTCCGAGAATGCGCGCGGCAACTTGCGCGGCGAAGGTCGTGACGATTTGTATGACTCTGGCGCCAATTTTCGAGGCGTAAAGTCCAAACAGGGTAGTTTATTTCAGGAACGAAAATTCAGTCCTACACTCGGCCCTTATAGTAATCCGGCACGTGTTAACACATAAATTTTTACCCGTCACATATAAGACGCGTCGAAAAGAGGCTTTGGGCAAATACACGGGGGTGGGTGGGGTTACTGTAAGAGCCTAGTGCGGGACTGAATTTTCGTTTTAGTGTAGTTTAATAGGGTCAGATTATCCTTCTAATCTATTCTACTTCGAATTCGGGCCCCAATGATAGGCGCTAAAGTCGTTCAAATAGTTACGAACTTCACCGCACAATTTGCCGCGCGCATCCTCGTACACATTCCCCTCGTCCCCACGTGTGGTATCGATTACTGCATATGTACTAACTTGCGCGTTTTGGCGACGGCGACCATTGCCGTCGCGTTTGCTGCACCGTCGTAGGCGCGACTGCGATTTCCTACTTATTCCATCGTAGTGGGTCCTTGATTTGGCCCGACCAGTTTTAGCATATCTGGTCTTGGCCATTACATTATGCGTAAATCAGGTTTCGAGTCGCCCCTGTTGTATTTTCACTATTAGAAATCTAGCAGGTTAGAGGGCCATTTGATGTGAGGGGGATCTGAATTGATTTGAAAATTGTGTAATCGTTGTTATTTACTTTTGTTGTTGCACCACCGTTATTCCCTGTCACTCTCCTTTATTTCATCCATTTTTACTTAGATGACTCTAAACAAGTGTTTTGAAACATCTCTTCTTTCACTCGAATTTTGTGAATAAATTATGAAAGGTATTTGCTGGTACTGTGCACGTAAAGTACTTGCTTTGTTGTTTAGTCAGTGGCTTTTGAAAGATACCCCCTCAAGTAAATAAGGTGCTTAAATTACTATTTTTTTAAGAAACTATGGGTAGTGACTGGATTCACTGTAACGCGTGCGGTCGACAACCTGCTCAAGGCGTTGTCTATTTTATTTCCAGTTGTGGACACATTATTTGTCAGAAGTGCAGCTCAACTGCTAGTGAGTTTCGTTGCCTCTCCTAGGTATCAATTGAAACTTATGCCATTTTATTTTATTTTCTCTTCTATTTTCATTTTGAAAACTTATTTGCTGTTCAGATAATACACCTATCTGCTTTCACGAACCTGTCCTTTGATAGGATAAGTCTTAGGCTTAGGAATGCAATTTCCTGTATTAACTACAGTGTGTTTCAAAAGTATGTGCACACCCAACATTTTGTTTTTTTT